GGGAATTAAATGAATGAAGTACATATTACCTAGCACTGGGGCAGGGATGGGGAGGAAGGGGAAAGCAACTGCTGGGCTGGTGCTAGAGCAGAATGACCCCCCTTTGACAGCTACAGGGTTTGAATCTGGATTTCTGGATCCCTTCCTCAGGCTGTCAGCTTCTACAGCGGATCATCCCACCTCTATGCATGAACACGTGCCCCTCATTCCTGGCTGCTGCCTCTGCCCCTGCAGGGACCTGCTCTGCTCTCACCAAGGATCTGACAGACAGGGCTCTCTGCTCGAGGGCTGTGCAGCTGCTTGGGCACCAGTTCCTGCTCCAACAGCACTTCCAAACATTTCTGGACACAGGAGGCAGTGGGAGTCAGCCAGATGAAAGCATCCTTTAGGGTGCATCTGCTCAGCACTGGTACATCTTCACCCAGTGAAGGTCTACCTTCTGGGCCCAAGCACTGGAGGTTTCAGAGCACACCTGCTTCTCCAGAAGTCCTCACAAAATGGTTGCATCTTCAGCACAGCACCAAGCAGTGCAGACCATTGCAAAACAGCCCTTGGCTCTGAATGACAGCCCTGAGATTTGTGCAGAGGGCGGAACGATTCTGCTAAGCTGGGCCAGAACACTTTTAAAATCCACTGGATGTAAAACATATATTGATATATTTACATTGGGTGATGTATTCCCCACATTAAATTGCCATCAGAAGCGGAGAAGGGCTCTGCGGTCCCCCGTTACAGCCCTGATCGATCCAGCCAGCCTGTTCTCTCCTCTTATGTGACTATCCTCCAAAAATAAGCAGCCTTGCCTGATGAATCATTTGCTCTTAGCTGAGCGTGAAGTGGCGTTGCTGCTTTGCCTGTGACGTCTTTATGTTAAAGATTCTGATCAAGCGCTTTAATCGACCCGACCTTTCCGCTCTCGGCTCTTCTCGTGGAGCCAGCGCTGTTCGCTGGCTCCAAACGCTCATTCTGGGGGCTTGGAAGGACATAATGCAGCGAGACAGCTGAGACACAGTAAATTGTCTAGCAGAGCTAAAAGCTAAGAGGGGAGGTTTGTGTGAATAGGTCAGTCACCGTGCAGGTTGCAGAGGGAAGCTTTTCACACGTTGCCTCGATTGCAGCCCTTGCACCGCCTATTCTGCACAGGATTTGCAATCTTCAAGGCAGCTTCTCAGGGCAAGGCTTGACAGGCGGGCCACCTATCAGATGTGAGTTCCATCATGTGGGTTTGGAGGGTCTGACTGCTTCAAAACCTTGGTTTTCTGCTGCTGATGAAAGGTGAGCTGCCAGCAACAGCGAGAAACCTCAGCTCTGCTCCCTTGCATGCGCTTAACAACTCAGCATTTGCAAACTGAGGGTAGAAGCTGATTCTCCAATATGTCAACCAGTCCTGCAGGAAACAAAAGCATTTGCTCTACATCTTACCTACTGAAAAATACATGGCTTTTTTTCACATCATCTTGTGATGCCACATGGCAAATCTAGCTCTGATCTCTGCCTGCAAGGAGAGAGACATAACCAGAGGCACACATGTAAAACATCTGCAAGCAGGAGCTACCCTCAGCCTAAAGTGCCTACTTTTTTTCCCCCTCCATTATTCATGATATACTTACTCTCCTAACACTGAGAGGAGACAGGAAAATACCTGCACATTATTAAGCCAGTGAGATATTAAGTGGCCTGTCCAAAATTACATGAAAAATCAGAGACAGGGGAAGGAGCTGAAGAAGCAGCTGAGGAAGCCAAGGTGCTGAGCCCTTTAACCCTTTAACAGCCAGGCTGTCATCCAAGGCCTTCCCAACAAGAGTAAAGGGTTTGGAATGCAAGGCTTTGGTTGCACAGCACGTGAAAGCAGTGAAACAAACTCAAAAAAATATCAGAAGTCAAAAAAATCATGGTTAGTATCCCATTTCCACTCAAAACCTATCTTATGTTTCTT